CAAGGAAGTTCCCTACTTAAAAGGGTGCCCCTTTTTAATAGGAACAAAGTGTGCTTTTTAATTACCTTCATTCTTAAGATGATATTCACTTGGGTTTTCTGTATCAGTAACACTTGGAGTTACTTGAGCATGAGATTACGTACTTGGTGTGTATGTGTATACACACACGTGCACCATCCTTTTTGCTAAATAGGCACACATGCTGCTCTTGCGTTCAGTAAACCTTCCTTCTGCCACCAGGGCAATATTGGTGGGTTTTGAATCTTTTTAATTTGTTGCTTGTAATATTTACAGATGTTACAGATATTACATCGTACAAATTTCTCATGATGTTCTCTAACTTTTCTGTATCTACTTTCGTGTTATTATTTAGACTAGTCTAATCATTATTTTCAGCAGTTCATTTAGCCTTTGGATTTTGACGTTCTTTGGCTGATGTATCCATCTCAGAGAGTAAACTGTCAGTGTTTGCCACAAGTTCGAACGTTGTTATCAAGTGATCTAATTTCCAGTGCTCTGTAATGGGTATTAAAAAAAAAAGTCTAATTTTCAAATATGATTGTACAGTTGAAGAAGTTAAAAGATTTTGTATTATCTTGTTGATGTCTGTAAGGCATTAAGAGTTTATAAATTTTGAATGCGAGTCTCTGGATTCAATTAGTTCTGAATGTGATTGAAGAAAGATTTTATTGCATCACATCTAGAAACTTGTGATAAGGCATTTTTTCTGTCCTTGAACTATTCTTTCAGCATTATACAGTTAGATTTTTTTTTTCTGTCCCAGCCATTAAGATGACTGTATGAAGTTTTGTGGGTTTTGTGGTGTTTTCTTTTTTTCCCAAAACTCATATTCAGTCACCCTCTCGAAAGGAATTTAAAATACTAACCCCAAGTCTTATCTGTTCAAAATGAGTGAAGATATTTCAGAAGTGGCTGGTGTTAACCTGAAGTTGTCGAAGGTGCCCTCTATTTCGGTGAGATGGGAGAGATTTAGTTTCAAGGATGGGTCTGGAGCTAATGCCTTTGAAAGGTGAGAAGCTGAGCTGGTGTCAATCTATTCGCGTACGCTGCCGTTACTGCCATGGCATGTGAGATCCACGCTCTTTATGAACTTTTCTTGAAACTGCTTCCCTCTTGTCTGCACTGCAGCCCAGCTTTTTCCCCAGTCAGATTCTCACCTCTTCCCGTTCACACTGTGGTTCTCGCCCTGCTGGGGCTGCATGGACTCTCCCTGCAGGCCCCATGCCCCAGGTGATGGTGCATTGCGGGGTGCTGGGGGCTTTGCTCATGGGACAGCCGCAGGAGGGAGAGCCCAGGGCCTGTGTCCAGCACTCCAGGGCGTGATCCTGATGAATTTCTCAAAGGCCATTTCTGTGGCTTTTCTCAACCATGCCTGCTTTGGCTAGAAACTTTGTTGACTCGTAACAGGTGGGGATGTCACGTGTTGCACATACGGCAGTGACTGTTAAACATTGCTGGTATTTAGTTAGTTACTGACGTTTTTGGTAGGTGGCCTCTACTTGCACGTCACAGGGCTGATCCAAGGTTCCACAGCCTTTCTTCAGCAGGATGGGAATTTTGAGCAGGAGGAAAGCGTTATTAAGATGACTTCCTTGACCCAGATGCTGTCGCCTCAGTTTGTGTGCTGCCAGAGCCACTGATCGCAACGCGCCTCGGCTGAAGCTGGTACCCCCACGGTGCTGCCTCGGCCCAGAGCCCTGTGCAGCCGTGCTCTGTGCTCCGGTGCTGTCCCATTGCTCTGCCCTGGGGTTGCCCCAGTGGCAGTTTGGGCACCTGGTGCTGCAGCCACGGGGCTGTGCCTTGCTGGGCTCCATGCGAACTGGGGCTTGGGGTGGGGCCTGGCCCATGGCACAGCAGGGGGGTGCATTTTGGGATGCAGGGGAGTTTCCACGAGAGGTTAGTGCCTGCTGCTTCTGCCAAGGGCATTGCTCTTCCATGATCTAGAACAAGGAATTCTTAAAATACCATTTTTCCCTTTTCACTCTTCCCATTGGCTGAACTTTTTACAAATTTGTACAATATTCAAATAATGTGTGTTGTGGGATCTAGTATTTTTGCAGACGCACACCCGGCACTCTGTAGGTTGTTGGTGCTTCCCAGAGATTTATCTCCACTGTGGAGGAACAGAGTAGTAGTGCATGTAGTTCGGTTTGTTTTGGTTTTACCTATAGAAAGGCTTTTATAACTAAAAATACCTTTAAACTTTATTTCCAGTTTTACTTGGTTTGTAATTATATTTGGGGGGGAATTCAGCAGGGGTGAATAGAGGTTAACTGTGTTACACTGTTAGCACTTCTACTTGTGATAAACTTGTAGCTTTTAAGACAGCTATAAACAATCAACTTCTTTGCCATCATGATGCATTATTCATCTTTTCTGTTAACAGGGGAGATGGAAATGTAGGCTCTGGGCAGGTCTAGGCTTGGTAAATTACAGTTTATAGATTTATCCAGTTTCTTCCTTGCTTGTTAATCTCAATGGTCTGGTTCACAGATTTCCTGCTCATTTCCATTCCCCACTCATTTGGATGGCCCTTGGTTGTGGAAGTTGTGCGTAAAGGCTGGTCTCATACAGAAGTGGTAAAGCACGGCTGTACAATTCTCATCTTCCTCAGTGCTTCTGGAGCTTAGAAAGCTGAAGTGGGAAGTGCCTCTGTGCATAAGGTCTTTTGCAAAGCTTGTAGGTTGCTTAATTTAACTGTTGTATGGGCTCTGGGAGGTGTAATTAGGCAAACCAAAGCTCACCCAGCTAGTCTGACTGCCTAGGGAACTGGTCTGACACCCTGGTTTTCACCAGTGTTATCTGAGGGTTATTGGGGATCCCTGAATCAGGATGTGTGGGTTCAGGTTAGATGAAGCATGCACAAGCTTTTCTGAAATGTGTTTGCAATTTCTGAAAGGAAACGTTTTCAGAATTTTATGTATGAATATGCATGCAATTTCTAAGCTCTTTCCAAGCAAATGTCATGGTAAGAGTTTGTTCTGCTGTGTACAATCATTCTCTGTGTATAATTTGTTCTTGTAGACCACAGAACTGCAGTGTGCCATCGTGAGTCTCCCACCTACGGGTGTTGGGGAAAAATAGCAGCAGTGATCAGTTGTCATAGGGGCTTATCATTTGGATCCCTCTGCTGCAGCAAGCTGGTGCAGTATCGCTTCCCCTGAACGTAGATTTGATTTGTCACAGATAACTTGGACTTTCCATCTCAGTAGAATGCCTTACAGTAGGAAAATAAGGCGAAAGAAACAAGCATTCCTTTCCTATCTCCACACTGTCAGTTAAGGTCCAGCAGCGCAACCCATTGTATGGCTTTAGTTCCAAAGATGAGAACTGGGTATTGTGTGTCCAACAAGCTGGAGTTGAAAGAGACTTGGGAGGGGTGAGATGCTGCTGCTAGTGGGTGTGTGAGACACAGTCAGCAACTGAACACCGAATCTTAGCCACCCATGTTTTACTAGCCTGGATTAGAGAGCTGGTTTTGTAGAAGGGTAAAATTGCCTGCCTATGGTTGGTTACTTTGTGAATGTCAAGGGATAAGTTATTTTGCCTGTTGGGATCTCTTTGTTTGTTCACTTGATGCCCTGAATAACGTGTGTCTTGCAAAAGCACGCACAGTATGCTGCGTTGAGGTATCTGGTCCAAGTATGAGTAAGTTTGTTTGTGGTTGAAATGATTCTAAATATGGGAAGCTTGCCTATTGCCTAATATTCCCATGTCAAATACAAAGGAGATTAAAGATGAGGTTTATTTTGAGAGCTTTATACATACATGACGGGTACAGAGCTGGTGTGCTTGCAGAGAAACACTTCAGTTGGTTGAGAATAATGTCACTGTGTAATGAAATCCAATTTTAGATAGCATTTTACTTAACCTAAGGTTCATTTTTCAAAATTGAAGGATTATTTTTCCTGGGTCTACTAGTGATTCCTTTTGCACAACTAGGAGGAGAGTTGAGGGGGTGCAGTACAAAGCGAAGCATCCATATGCAGTAAGAAATACGGGACTTTTACCACTGTTGAACCCGTGAGAGAACTGTTTGGTCAGACAGCTGTTAACATCGGTTTGGGGACATCTGAAAAAATTGAACTTTTTAGTTCTGTTCCACTGAATGTAAAACTTTGTAAACAGTGCCTTTTCAAGGTAGTGGGCATACTTGAGTACTTAAATATTAAAACTAATTCTCAAATTTCATCTTGTGAATTTCTTTGTTTGTGATATTCAATTAAATGTTTTGTGTTTCTTTTCTGGTGTTTTCGCAAATGGCTTAGTTCAGCAAGTGGAAGCAATAGCTCTGCTTAAGCTGTAGGACTTAAAAATAAGAAAATGAGTCAATATCCTATCCTGGGAAAAAGCAGTGTAGTGATCTTATTTGTGTTTTTCCTTGTTACTTTTTTTTTTTTTTTTTTTTAATGCTTATACAGTAAACAGGATTACAGAGGTCCTATCTTGAAGTTTGTGTGTTCATTAAAAATGGCTAGTTTCTCATCTTACTAAATACACAGCAACTTAAAATTCAGCTTGATAATTGTTGTGTAGTGTGCCCATTTGCTACACTAATTGTCAACTAATCTGGATGGAATGTTTTGAAAGTGCAATAGTAAAAACCAAAACACTCCCCCCTCCCCCCTCCCAAAAAAAAAAAAAACAACTTTAAGGATTTCACGTACATTAAGCATATCTTTACTCATTTACCCTGCAGCTTCCAATAGGTAAATTCCACTTCAGAGTAATTAGCAGAATTTCGTCCCTTGTTAAATTTGCATGGCATAGATCTGTCTGTCCTGTGGAGCACAGCTGATAATCTACATGTAAAGTACCCACAATTGCCATTACATATTTAGGGTTTGCTTCCATTTCTATCTAGTTTCTTTTGAAACTTCTTTGCAAATCAAGAAATAGTGTGTGCAGAAGAAAATAAAATGCATTTAGCTGTAATCTCTACTCTATCCTCATTCTTTTTTTTCTCTCTTCTCTTTCAGAAATGAGCCGTCAGACTGCTACAGCACTACCTACAGGTACTTCAAAGTGTACGCCATCACAGAGGGTGCCTGCACTGACTGGCACTACAGCTTCCAATAATGACTTGGCTAGTCTCTTTGAATGTCCTGTTTGTTTTGACTATGTGCTGCCACCAATTCTTCAGTGTCAGAGTGGCCATCTTGTTTGTAGCAACTGTCGCCCCAAACTTACGTGCTGTCCAACTTGCCGAGGCCCGCTGGGCTCCATTCGTAACCTGGCTATGGAGAAAGTTGCCAATTCTGTACTATTCCCGTGTAAATATGCCTCTTCCGGATGTGAGATAACTTTGCCACACACAGAAAAAGCAGACCATGAGGAGCTGTGTGAGTTTAGGCCTTATTCCTGTCCATGTCCTGGTGCTTCATGTAAATGGCAAGGTTCTCTGGATGCTGTAATGCCACATCTGATGCATCAACATAAGTCAATTACCACACTTCAGGGAGAAGATATAGTGTTCCTTGCTACAGACATTAATCTTCCTGGTGCTGTTGACTGGGTTATGATGCAGTCTTGTTTTGGCTTTCATTTCATGTTAGTATTGGAGAAACAGGAAAAATATGATGGTCACCAGCAGTTCTTTGCGATTGTACAGCTGATAGGAACACGCAAGCAAGCAGAAAACTTTGCTTATCGACTTGAGTTAAACGGTCATAGGCGGCGATTGACTTGGGAAGCAACTCCTCGATCTATCCATGAGGGAATTGCAACAGCCATTATGAATAGTGACTGTCTAGTCTTTGACACCAGCATTGCACAGCTCTTTGCAGAAAATGGCAATTTAGGCATCAATGTAACTATATCAATGTGTTGAAATGGCAATCAAACCTCTTCAGGCCAGTGTTGAAAACCGTTGCATTTAACTTAGCAGAAACTAGGGTAACCATCGTTGACTGTCAGACAAATTATTTGGTAGATGGAGGATAGACATATGAAGGTAAATAAAAGGAAAGGCTGTTAAATTACAGGAAGCAGTTGCATGTAGTAACACTAATATATTTAAAATAAGTCAACAGTAAACCACTGAAAATATATATACACCCAAAATGGGCATCTTTTGTATTCAGAATTGATTCTACAGGAAATGTTGTAAAATAATTCTAAAAACTTGTTTGTAGATTGATTGTACTGTTGAAAAGGATACTGTTTCGTGTTTTTGTTCGTGTTCTTTTCCTCCCCCTTTGACTGACAAGCCATGTTGAGCGGTTTGGTCTCTGGCCGCTGCATCCCGCTCCCCTCCTCCCTCCCTCCCTCCTTTGTAAGTCACTACATAGTATTGCTGCTGTTTGTGTATATTTTTTGTGTATTTGCTAATTTTTATTAACTTCTAGTTTTTCATTAAATAAATATGACTTTCTTTTCTGTAATTCAGGTTTTTCTCTTTTTTTGTATCTTTTTAAAATTAACTACAGGTGTCATCTTTTGATATGCATAATTGCTATGGTAAAATTAATATTTCTGTATGTTTGGTAAATTTTGTCTCTTTCCAGTAGTCAATTCATTGGTGATGCTGTTCTTAACTGAGCTATTTTGTGAATGTATTGAACTTGAAAGGAGTAATTATGTTCAAAGATGTATCAGGAAAGAAAGCTCCTTTAAAAACAGGTCTAGATGTTGTTGTACTTTGAGTTATGGTCTAACATAAATGAATTACCAAGATTTTTCCAAACTAAAAAAAAAATCACGTTTCAAATTTAGAGATGCTTATAAACTCAATTGCATCCTTGTATTTGTTGGTTTTCCAGTACAAAGAAGGTATTGTCTTGCACAGTATTTGTAACTATAAAACAGACCATTTGTTTAAAAAAAAAAAAAGAAAAAAACAAAACAAAACAAAACAAAAAAAAGGGCAGTCAGAACGAGATGTTTGCAGTCTTTTTATATTTCTCATTAAAAGAATACCTGGCAAATTAAAATTCAATTTTTTGCTTTTTGCTTTAGCTCAAAGTTTGACACATGACTACTACTCTTGCTCAATTTCTTGTCCTCATGTCTCTTGGTTGTTACTAAAGTAATTTCTTGAACTGATTTTTGTATATTGTTTTAGTGATGATACACAGTCAGATACAAGTAATCTCTCACAGGTATGATTCACCAGCCATAAAAGCTTTTGTAGGATACTGGGCTTTATGCAGACTGCCTATATGTGAAAAAAATAACCATGAATGTATAATGGTATTTGTGTTACAAAACAGAGAGACAGAAAAAAAGAATAAGGTGAAAAGCTGTTTCATCTTAAGCTATTTAAAGGAAATCTTTGTCAAACCTAGTAGTAATGGGCATCTGTTCAGAGAGGTAGTCTGGCTATGAATTACTTTTGTAACACATTAAAATACAGTTTATTTACTGTGCACTGTCTTTAACTTTCTTATCAGAAATTGCTTTGTTAAGTCAAGTGTTGTTCATATTATTTTGGTGCGTAAGGTAAGTAGTTGTACAGGTAAGGAGCATAAAACCCCTCAGGTTGGATACATACACTACTACAGCCACAATTAGTTTTGTGTAATGAAAGAAAAAAAATTACTTCTTATAATTTGTTTCTTAGGCTGTTAAAATTTTGCACAGATTTCAGTTAAAAGATGTACTGTGACAGTAGATGTTTGAAAGCAAATCCTTCAATCTAGCATTTTTTTTTCTTTACCAAATAGACAACTAATTGTTTGCAGTCTTCTGAACTCAGTAATTACTCCCACCTAATTAAGCTTGTCTATATTTACCCAAGTTTTGTCTTCTGGTGTACTGACAGGAACTCAGCTAAATACGCAAATAGATTGTATAGGCATACGTGTACTCACCAGCTCACCCTTATTCACTCCTCATTGGCTGGCTTGGACTGGAGTTTACCTGCCAAGGTTATCTGCTTCTTGGCTCAAGTTCTGTAAGGAAACCTCGCTAAGAACCTGTAAGGGTTGCCCTGAGCAGCCTGATAGTTGCAACTGGAATGTCACAGGGCTGTGTAAGTGTGCAAGTTACTTGAGATTGCTGCTGCCTGTACTCATGTTGTGTCCCCAGAAGAACTGTGAATCTTGAAACTTTTCTGCACTGATACACAGTGATTTTTGTTTAGGCTGGAACGTGAGAGTATGATTCTGAAGGGGACAAAAAAGGGCATTTGTAATGAGCTTTAGAAGCTAATTGATAAGGTCAGACTGTTTTTTCATCGTGTTTTACAGATGACACGCTATAGCACAACTAACATATGGTGGACTTACTACTATGATGTAAGTTGGTACTCTGTTTGGTGTAATTGACAAAACAACACAAACCTGTATGAAACATTTGATGCCCATCATCGGATGGAATGACTAAACAAATTATACATAGGCCCAGATCCTCAAAAGTATTGGAAGCATAATTCAGTGGGTCTCCTCTAAGTAGTTTGAGGATCTGGTAAGTAAACCTTGCTCTGTTATATATGAAAAAAGAAAACGTACTAAAAATCTGTACAGCTTACTACCTTATTTAAAATAAATGGTGTGTTAAAGCCTGCCAATGTCTTAGCATTAGCTATTTATTTTAGAAAGTACTATTTTTCTTTGCTGTATTGGGAAAGTATTCAAGTTTGTCTCTAATAGATGAAATGCAGTAGATCTTATATTTATCCCCTATTACTACCTCCATTGTTTTTCATTGCCTTGAAAACAACAAAAAGCCTTAAAAGGAAAATGTTTGACAAATCCAAATATTTGGATTCTGTTTTTAGTTTCTGATTAGTTTTTGTTTGCAATATTGCTTTAAATTGAAGCAGATGAACTGTTTTGTATTGCTAACCTATACCATTGCATTATTCAGAATTGTTTCAAAGCCACTATGATTAAAAACATGAATTGCACTAGTGGGATAGTTTTATCTGTAGCAACTTAGAGTGTGGACTGTGGATAGAGCAAAGGAACTACCACTGCTGACTTTTACCTTTGATAAACTTAGTTACGTTATGGTATATTCTGAGGGACACGCTCATGTTTATTATCAGGTCTGCTTAAATGTCAGTGCAAAGCAGAATAATCCCTAGTGTATCAAAATTACTTTAAAAGATCATTAATATTCTGGTTTGCTGCTGCACAGATTGTTATTCTCTAGAGTGTTTCGTGAAAATAAAATACACTTAAATGTAACTATCTGCTGTTATAATGGGTAATGCTTAGGTTATATTTAAAAAAAAATAATAACAAAGTAACATAACCAAGTCACCTCTTGTGGTGACAAGTGGGAACATGAAAATCTCTAAGTAAATTCAGGTAAAGATCTTTAGAGTTACATTAAATTCTTCACCTTTTAGATAAAGTCCAGGTAGACAAGACATTGGAGTGGTGTGGCAGAAAGTCATTGCTCAACTTTTTTGGGGAGCAACTCCCTGTTCTTCTGAAGTGAAATTGCTGTAGAAGCCTTTTTTTTTTTTTCCTCAAAAAAACACCCTATATTTACTGTCTTTCAAAAAATGCATTTTTTCTGTATGTATAAACAGACTGCACTGGAATTCCATACACATCTGTTTTCTTACTAGCATAAGTACTGCAGGATTGTTATTTGATATTAATTAAGTTTGGTAAAGAGAACATTTTTTTTCTCCCCTACTGGTGTTGAGTGAAGGCCAAGCAGGATATTAGTTACCATTCCTGCTATTTTACTGATTGCCCTTTTTTTTTTTTTGTACTTTTTGTGTTCAAGTATTCTGTAAGGCAGAAAACATAAAGACTCCTTGTTGACTCTTAACCTTGGAACTTAGCTAGTGAATTACTTAAGAGTATAATTAATTCTTAAAAGAGTAAAACAAAGGTGTTTTTTTTAAAACGTTTTATTAGATGAAGTCTTCTGTGAAAATTTTGAGATCTTATAAGTCAGGTGCAGAAATACCCACTGAATTTATTAATACAATTAATGTTAAGTTCCAGGTAAATAGGTAAATCAGCTTTGTTTGTACCTATGGAAAATAAAGCAAAACAAGCTGCTAATTTTGATTTATTGGTTTCAAGGACATTTGAGTTTGTTTCAGGATTAATGAGCAAGAACGGACTATGATACTAGGTTTTCTCTTGTGCTTGACCCTAGTGTAAAACAGTGAGAAACCCAAGAATTGTAGCTTACATAAGGTTAAATTTCTATTTTCTCTAGCATTCAAGGGAAGATAAGAGACAAAGCTATCAGCTCAGATAGGATACTGACACACTTTCTCAAACCTTACATTATTCACAGTGTGCAGTACCTAATGCAATTTAACTATCCAGTAATTTTTTTGACATTGCTTAAATTGATTTAATTTTAGAGTCTAAACAAGCATCCCAGAATCAATATTCCCAGTTCTGTATTGGGTAAGAATTAAGGACATGTACTTCATCCCTCCAAAGTGTTACCATGCTCAGTCTTTCTCATGAAGTCTTCAAGTACACTCCACTTACTTCCAGTGCTGTAAATACTACTTCGCATATGTGAACCTTAGTGCATTGTCTCCCTTCCTATACAAAAGTTAATGCATTCCTGTATTTAGTTTTGAAAATGATATCTACATTGACATTGCTACATGCTATAACTCTTGTGAGTGCTTGTGAGGACTTACTTAATTTAGACTATATTGCATCTGGTTAAATCCTTTAAGTATTTTTTTAAATTTCAAAAAATGTTTTTCCTGTGATGTCACTGCTCCTTAGTATATTGCTTCAATGCTATTTCCTAAATAAGAAAACTGCACCAAATCAGAGTGTCATCCCATCTCTATTAGCTCCTCTTGCTAGGCAGCATTTGCTGCAGTTTGTGTCTTCTGAACACACAAATTGCATACTATTCCCTGTCTAGGGATTTTTCCCCCTTTACAGATATAATCAGCTGTTGACGTTTATATAAAATACCAGATAAAGTAAGCAAATATTTCTCAAGAACTTCAGCTTATGCTTGAAACCTACTATGAAGAGAAGTTTTTTTCCCCAAGGTTCTTTGTAGTAGCATATGCCCATAAAATGCGGTTTTGGGTTCTTAACTGCTGAAGTAATATTTTTATTTTGATTGCACTTACACCCACGTTTAAGCAATCACATGTACCTCATATTTATACTTGATAGTTACTGATCTCTATTAAAACTTTATATAGAAGTTAATCTCAGCCTGGCTACTTAAAGTTTACTATTCAAACGCTCAACTCTGGGCTTAACTGAAAATCCTCCATCGAAAGCTGCATTAAGAACTTCATCCAGACAGCTTGCCATAATAAAAGTCAAATCTTGCCGTACGTTCACTGCAATTTCTTCAAGATCTTTTTCATTTCTTTGAGGAATGATAATTCTCTTCAGTCCAGCTCGGTGTGCTGCCAGGACTTTGTCTTTAATTCCCCCAACCTAATGAGGAAAAAAAAATATCATAGGGTTTTTTACATATATATATGCTACTCCCATAAAGTAATTATTGTAACAAATTTCGAAGTCACACCAGGAGTTAAATTTTAATGTTCTCCTTCCCCCAATCATTTAGTGAAGTAATTAAAAATTTAGCAGTAGTTTTACCTCATTATGTGCTTAACAAGGGAAATATATTAATGGTTTGGATTGGAAGGAACTTTTGAAGATCATCTAGTTCCAAATACGTTATGCTACAGCACTCTTTTTCCATAACTGAAGGAAAAAATCTCTCTGGATTAAAAATTTATCTAGGAATGCAGGTACAAGTATCAGAAGTTGAAAAGTCATCCATTTTCAGAAATTATTTTCCAAATAAAGGTGGCATGCTGAAATCCTATGCCTATGTAAGAACAAAAGTTTTTCAAAATAAAGGCAGCACTAGAAGAGGAAAAGGGGAAAAATCTTACAGATGCAATGCTACACAACAAATTACTTGAGTTAAACAAAAGAAAATACAAATCTGTACCCCAAAAGTGCAAAGATGGCTTTGCTCTAGGAAAGTAAGTATCACTTCAATAAGCTACCTATTTTGAGTTTGTAATGACATGTAAAGATGGTTTTAAAATTAGTTTTTCTTTTAGTCGCAGCTGTAGCTTCTTCCCCATAAACTTTTTCAAATCCTATTTTAAGACCATTTTACAGAAGAAACCTGTACTTTTTACTGGTGCTTTAGAGGAAAAGAAAGGCTTGTATTATAGCAAAAAGTACTATTTAGGCTTCTGCAAATCAAAGTAACAGAGAGCCATAAATCTTCACAGTGATCACAGTCTAGTCTGGACACTACTACTGAATACTCACCACATTGCTTTCTTTCAGGCAGCAGATGCAGTTAATGGCATGCTTGCATAAATTAAAATTACTAATAATAGATCCTAGCCAACATTCAGAAAGAAGGTAAGAGTCATTTTTTATAAATGATTTAGCACAGACGAGTAACTTCTGTACCTTAAACAATAGGCAAAGTTTGGTCACTGGTGCAATAAAAGCACTTTATTCGGAAAGCTCAGCAAACTTAAACCAAACCAGAGTTAAGGCAGTTGTTTATTTTTCACCAGAGCCTTTAACAAAAGGCAATCTTGTCAGTATAATGGCCACCAGAACACTACTTCTGAGGGCCTTCCAGTCTGTTACTTTAATTATGTTAGCTCTGGTTTACTCTACTGCATGAAACAGAATACTGTCTTCCAACCTCATCCTTCCTTTGTCCGTTATTTGGTATGAGATGATAGATCATCTATATCTGTTTTAATCAATTATGCCAGTCTCCATTTGATACTTAAAACTAAAAATGTATTTGCTGAAAGTTCCCTTTGCCCTCATATGCTTTTAACAAGCTTTATGGGAACATCATTCAGCTGAACTACATATAATAACAACATATACGTAGAGTCTAAAAATACACAGAGAATTTTGAGAGTAACCTACATGAAATTACCGTGAGAGCTCAAAAAAAACCAACTTTTCAGTCAAATCAGAGATACTTTTGTACTAGTAGTTTTAGGTAGCATGTGTTGAAATTGCAATATATTTATCTTGGAACTATCTTGAATTTTAGGATTTCTACGTTTCCCTTCTAACTAGATGTGCTAACAATGTGCACTTCCTGAAAATAGCATCAAGGCCATTTTTAACATTAAATGCAAAGCAGGCACATGCATATACAGCTCTAACCTAGGCTGGCTTCCATCAGCCTCTTACAATTACACCAAAAGAGACTGGATTGCTGCTAAAGGAATGATCCAGCAAGACCATGCTTTTGTAAATGGCTAGAAACAGACTTTACACCTACAATATGGAGAATTAATACAACTTAGCTCTTTTCTCAAACGATACATACTGGAAGAACAAGGCCTCTTAGTGTAATTTCTCCTGTCATGGCTACATCTGAACACACCAGCCGCCCACTGAAGAGAGAAGCAAGGCAGGTTACTATGGTAACACCAGCAGATGGTCCATCTTTTGTGACAGCTCCAGCTGGGAAGTGCAGATGGATGTCAGTGTTGTCAAGGAGATCAAAACTTCCAGAAGCTGAAAGAAAAAAAGAATGGTTTGAATGTGAAAAATCTAAACCCATTTTGTTCCTGGTCTTTATTCTGAAAGGCC